TATAATATCACATGATAATCATGTGTTGTGCATTTATAGAGGAAATTTTAATATAATAAATTTTAAATTTTTTTGCATGTGCAGAAATTAGAGGTGTGCATTTAATAATATTGCCCAACTTGGGACCAAGCTTAATAGTACATTTAAAGAGGGTGTGCATTTAGAGAGGGTGCATTTAGAGAGGGTTCTCTGTATTATTAATATTATTGTATACTTAAATAGCAGCTTGACTATTTCTGAAAGTACAACCATTATACTTTAGTTAAATAGAATTATTGATATAATGTGTCTAATGATTTTATTTGAAGTATCTATAACTTTATAATTAGTTTTGTTGTATTTATTTTTTTGTTTAGTGTTTTTTTTTTTTTTCAATTTTCAATTTCTTATAATCTTACATATAAACTCAAGTAAATATTCATAGCTGCTTAACACTATTTAGGATATATATTGGTTTTAATATTTATTTTCTATATTGCTTAAATAGTTTCTGTAAGCAAGCTAGCATTAGACTCACTAACTAATTGGTCATGCAAAAGATGTTGTCACTTTCTGCCTATAAAATAATTTAAAATTTTTACCATAATAAAGAGATAATGTTTATCTACTTAAAAAAAAATATTATTATTATTATTTATCTTTTTTGTTTTTTAGGCTCTTAAGTTTGGTGTTACTTGTGTTTTTTGATTAATTTACTTGAATTAAAGATTATAAATATAATGGAAACAAATGAAAGTTTAATAAAATTCAATATTGAGTGCTTTTCAAAAAAAAAAAAAGCATATATCACATCTCTGACACGTAAACTGCACGCCCTTTTGCAGAATAAAATAGATTTTAAATTATCCACTGCTTGATGTAAGTTTTGCTCGCCATTATTATTTAAGTGATTTTTTCAAGACATCGTTTCTTGCTCAAATATATAAATGAAACACAAAAAAAATCTTTTATTATAAAACAATCGAAAAAGTATAGCTAATGTCTTATTATGATATAAACTTTTCGCGTGAGGTTGTTTTTTGTTTTCCTAATGCGGTGGTGTCACATGTCTACGTGAATTTGTCGTCTATTTTAATAATCTAATAATCATGCAATTACTTTATCTGCAACCAAATATTGAGAATAATATTAACTTTTATTACTGTTCTCAATGATAGAAGACTGAATTATAAGGCACGATGATCGATATTTGTTCGTGTAACGGATTTGCGTATTTCGCGCTCCTTTCTTCAAGGTATCGCGAAACAAAGATTAGATATCAATATTTATGTTGTTTAAAATGCTTGTTAAATAATCAGAACCCTATGGTACCTGTAATATCCTCCATCACATCCCTTTGGGTTCGAGCATTTAATATTTCCAAGTTATAAACTGTTCCAATTCGGATTTTAAAAGGATTTTTGAGTATATTTAAAAATATCCATCAAAAAAATTCCATTACCTTAAGGATAAACGTCTCTATCTTCCTTCTTTGTTGTTCAAGATCAATATCTAGATTACTAATTTCAAGAGCAATTTTACAAGCCTTGTTCTCTTCGTTTCGAATTTTTTCACTCAAGGACTTTTGTTTCTCTCCAAACTTTACTAACTTATTGGCAAAATCTTCAAGATCATCTTGTAGTTTCGGTTCGTTTTCATTTGTTATCTAGAAAGTTTGCGAATTTAGCAAAGAAAATTGCAATTGACTAAATGACGAACTTCTTATTCTGAATATAATTTTACTTCAAATGACTTTTAAAGACAAATACTTAACTTGATGCATTTTTTGCTTTTTGTGTTTACACTGAAGTCGAAGTTCTATGAGAACGATGTTAAGCAACTATGCTGATAAACGAATATTACAATTAATATTACATAATTTAATTTACGAATCCACATTTATCAGAATTTAAATATAGAATAAAGGTAACATCCAAAATCCGAGGCAATTATATAATTCAGATTACATCATGTCAAGAAAATACTAATCTAATATTACAATATGCAATGCATGGATATTACAGTATAATATTAAATAGGATAAGATCAAGTCAAAATTTAAATAAATCAATTTTAGATTATTTCTATAAAAAGTTATTAGAGTTTTTATTTCAAATATTGGCTTATTTATTTATTTATTTATTTATTAATTTATAATTTTTTTTTAACCTACTGTCAAAGTACTTTATTAATTTATTATGAAAAAAAGCAGCAATTCTTTATATAAGCTAAATTTTTGTTCAATCACAATATTCATCAATAGTTTAAGCCTCTATATATAACTCTGGAAATGGCCTAATCTTTTCTCCGTCTAAAAACTTATTTAAATAATAAAATTTTAAACCTAACTATTATTTCTCTATTTTGACTACTTATTTATATTTTCAAACTTTTTTTATCAAATTATATTAAACTTAAAATTATTAAATTTCTTATAATAACATATTATCTTTATTATTTGTAATTGATGATTTTTTTTATTTCAAAAATTTTCAATCAAAAATATTTAAAGTTACTTTTTAAAACTTATTTTTAAAACTTATTTTTGAGAATTTATATTAAATAACTATTAATTTTTTATTATAAGTTATAATTAATTAATTGAAAAGATTAATTTTAATAAAAGTTAATTTAAAATTTTTAAATAAACAATTGTTTTTTATAACAAAAATATAAAATAATTTATTTTGTTTAGTTAACAACAAATAAAAATTTTAAAAAATCTTATTTTGATTTTTTTTTATTTAAATTATAAATTTTAATAATAATGTTAATAAATACATAATAATAATATATTTAAAATTTTTATTTTTATTTTAATTAAAAAAATCAAAAAAATATATTATAAAATAAAATTAATAATTTTTATTTAGATAACTTTTATAATAACATTTTTTTATTTATATATAATTTAATAAAATATTTTTAAAAAAATATTATTTCTTTTATATATAAATTACAATAAATTAAATATTATCATAATTATAATAAATATTTTTTTTAAACAATAAAAATTATTATATAATATTAAATATTTTGAAAAATCAAATTAAGA